CATGACTGACTTCATGGGAGTTGGTTGTGTATTGCAGCTATTCCTGATGGGTTCATTCTCCCTTGTGGCACTAACAGAGATCAGATATGGCTATTCCCCTGCCACTCTCACTCTTTTGACAAGGGGAGATACGAACTACTGGGTTTCAGAAAGGTAGAAAGAAATTATATAAAAGCAAAGGGCAGTCTGAATGATAAAATTCACTTTTTATTGGCATTCTTGACATACATCAGGCACTGGTCTACATATTTCACATATTTGGAACTTTGAATCCTCTCAGTGACATCCAGCACCTAATGCAGTAAGTATTATCAAGAGTTTTATTTTACAGGTGAGAAAACCCACACAGTGAAGGAAGCCGCTAGCCAGGGGTACACAGCTAGTCAGTGGAAGGCCTGAAATTCCAACTGAGATTCTTTGAAGCTTGTAGCTGTTTCTTGTAGGAAGAAATCAAAGCCAACCAACCATAAGGGTCAAACAGGCAGTATTTACCGAAGGATAATGCTCACAAGTAGGAAGGGATGGAAAAGAGGATGAACGAAAATGGGAGGAAGTGGAAAAAGTGTCGTTAACACTGTGAGGTTTGCAATCAATGTCATGAAACATAAAGTGTGTGAATTGTTGAAGGGAGCAACTCAACAATTTACCGCCTGAAAACTCTGTAAACTTTCACTCAAGTCACAATGAGCCAGTTAAAGCAGAAAAGAAAATCAAGGCCAAGGATTAAGTAAGGAGAGAGAGCGAGAGATGTAGAAGGAATTCTCTCACATTCTTTTAGAGGAAAGTCCTCTTTTTCCATGTCTTCCCTCAACCCTAGAGAGGCAAAGATGTGGCAGGTAAAACGAGAGAGAATGTGTTATTTTTCCCCGTATGAGAATATGAGAAAGGTAGACAGATACTCTGAAGCCAGCCAACGAGATTGGAGATCAGCACTGGAATGGCCCATGACAGCGTCTCCTGGAATTAATCTGATTTTGGATCCAACTATAATATCTGCAGACGTCGGTGTAGACTCCTGGTTTCTCCTTCGACCCACAAGGGATGTTGCCCCATGAAACGACGCCTCTAAGTTGGCCTCTGCACACCAGGGGGCCCCCAGAATCACCCTGTAAAGAAAAGAGAACGAGTTAGAGAATCTCAGAGACAGAGAAGTGGACACAGCAATGGAGAGATAAAAGGACCCAGACAAAGAGACAAAGAGCTAGTGGATGGGGAATATACCATGGGTCTTTGCAACAAGAGTACTGGCGAGCACCTACCTTCAACCTTATTGTCACCATGACTGCCAAGACGCTAGTCCCGCTGATGGGCAAAGAAGGTGTCCACAATGGTTTGATCAACAAGAAATGTTATGAAACGGTCTCTGACCTGCGGCATGCCCAGTACTGACCTCGTCTGCCCCTTTCCCCACCACTCCCCACTGCTTTCTCACCACTATCCTTCCCATACACATACACCATTTTTATTTTCTTGAGCCGTTACCCCACATCCTTTATTATTGCCAAAACTGAATGGAGTTGGATGGACAAATACCTCCCCCTACCCATACCGCTCCTGTGCATGGTTCGAAACTTTTTTGGTTTTGGGTTTGTTTTTGTTGGTTTTTTTTTTTTCCTGAATAAAAAAGATTCTAAGAGCAACGGTGTCTCTCTGGAGACTAAGGTGCATCTGATACAGGCCATGGTCTTTGCAATCACTTGTTATGCATCAGAGAGTTGGACAATGACCAAGAAGGATAGAAGGAGAATTGATGCCTTTGAACTGTGGTGCTGGAGAAGAGTATTGAGGGTACCATGGACTGCTAGGAAAACAAACAGATTCATCCTGGAAAGGGTTAAACCGGGTGGCTCCTTGGAGGCAAGGATTCTGAGGCTCCATCTAACATACTTTGGACATGTTGTGAGGAGGGACCAGTCCTTGGAGAAGGCCATCATGCTTGGGAGGGTGGAGGGACAGCGCAGGAGGGGAAGGCCCTCTATGAGGTGGATTGATTCAGTGACTGGGATAATTGGAATGGGAGTGTCAGAGACAGTGCGATTGGCACAGGACAGAGCGGAGTTTAGGGCTGTTGTACATAGGGTCGCTATGAGTCGCAAGCGACTCAATGGCACATAACAACAACAATAAAAAAACCAACAAAAAACAAAGAGAAAAAGAGAGAGAGAGCCATGTAGAGATAGCAGGAAAGACAATGACAGATAGATAGGCAGGTAGAAAGGCACACAGTCGCAGACAGAGAGAGATGGGGAGAGGTGGAAGGAGACGTATGGAGAAACAGAAGCAAAAACATCAAGATCTAGTGTTATGCACCGAATTGTGTTTGTCCCCTTCTCCCTTCCACATAGATGTCAGCTTGGTTGGGCCATGGTTCTCAGGATCATTTAACTAGTCTCCACTTTGTGATCTGTTGTAATCATTCTGTGTTATAAATCTTAACCTCTATGATTGCTAATAAGGCAGACTCAGTGATTGTTATGTTAAGAAGGCAGAGTGAATTTTACAGGATTAAGCTTTACCTTGAGTCAATCTCTTTAGAGAAATAAACTAGATTCGCTAAACCAGTAGAGATCAGAGCGATCTACTCTCACCAAGAGAGAAGAACCAGGAGCAGGGAGCGTCCTTTGGACCCAGGGTCTCTGTGCTGAAAACTTCCTAGACTAAGAAGACGGAGGCTAAGACACATGGAGATATAGACGTTGGAAGGAGATCTTCCCCAGAGCCAACAGAGAGAGAAAACGTTCCCCAAGAGATAATATCTGAATTTGGACTTCTAGCTTCCTAAATTGCGAAACAACAACATTCTGTTAGAGTCACTCACTTGTAGGATTTCTATTAATGTTGTTACAGCAGCATTAGATAACTAAGACACTCCAAGAAGCACAGAAAACAAGAGATTAAACAGAGCGAAGGTAAAGGGCGGAAACGGAAAGGTGAGGAGAGAGGCAAAGGTGTGGAGAGGGAGAGAAAGAAAGGGGAAGAAAGGGAGAAAGAAAGAATGAGAGAAAAAAAGAGAAATAGAAGAAATGAGAAAAGAGAAGAGGAGAGGACAAGAAAAGGGGCCAAAAACATATCTAAAGATACTGGCAAATACAGAGCCCAAGGCCCTCAGAGAAGCAGAAGTAGTTAAAAGTGGAAGAGTCCGAATACAATAAGACATAGAAGAAAAGCAGAAGAAACCTTGCACACCCATGTTTATTTCTGCTTTGTTCACAACAGCAAAGAGTTGGAAACAACACAAGTGCCCATCAACAAACAAATGAATAGAGAAGCTCTGGTATATTCACACAATGGAATACTATGCAGCACTGGAAAACAAGGAACTAGTGAAATATTATACAAAATGGGTGAACTTGAAGGACATTATGTTGAGTGAAATATCTCGGTCACACACACAAAATCATATATGACATAATGTCACTTTTCTAAAACAGGACTGACATGGGGTTTAGAGAAAAACTAAGACAAAAGGGATAAACAATGAACCCAGCATTGAAACAGATGAGGGAGAGAACTGCTTAAAAGGCATATATGATTAGGTATTATTTGCATGACAAGAGTCCAAAATAAGAGCTGCATAGTAAAGTGGACTGGGGAGGGGGATTGTATAACAATGAAAGAAATTTTTTTTCTTTTCAAAGAGAAAAGAGAACTTGGGGTAGGGCTGGGCAGGGAGGGCAATGAGCAACAGTGAATGAATGGAAATCCAAGTTCTATATAATCTTGCATTAAAATCTCAAAAAAAAACTATGAAAAATTTTTTCAAAAGCAGAAAAAACCCTGAGAAAGAAAATACATTCTCCACCATCTGTCCTTGGTCAGTCTCAGAAAATGTCCACTTGTGGGTCTGTCATTTCTCTGCCTTTCTGTCCCTTCATGCATTGAAATCATCAAGAGGAGAGAGATGGTGGACCATGGTGGAGGAAACCTCAAGTTAGAGGTATTATTGAAAATGATGAAGCCTTTTTTTCTCCTGCTAAAGTTTCTCTTTCTCCCTCACTTGACCATTTTCAAGCAGGATTGTGTTTGGGAGGGCAGGAAGGAGTCTTAGTTTCTAACCGAAGGGAGTTCTGGTGGCAGAGTGGTAAGGAATTGCGCTGCCAGGGCAAAGACACACAGTTCGAATCCACAAGCTGCTCTTTGGGAGAAAGGTGGGCGATCTTCTCTCATGAGATTTACTACCTCTGAAAACCCTCTGGAGGGTCAGCTACGGGTCAGTTCTAACTCGATGGTATACAATAACAACTAAAAGGTTAGGGAGCTCTGATGGCCTAGTGATAAGAAGCTGTGCTGCAAGCCCAAAGGCACATGGTTTGAATCCCCCAGCTGCTCTGTGGAAGAAGGATGGGCAATCTTCTTTTGTGTGTTTTATTGTCTCTGAAAACCCACTGGAGGGTCAGTTCTGACTTGGCAACACATAACAACAACCACTGAAAGGTTAGCCTTTGGTGTCCATCTGTAGATGTCTCCGAAGAAAGGCTTAGTGATCTAATTGAAGTGCTTCTGAAAAGTCAACTTTTGAAAAGTTTAAGGAGCATGATTCTCCTCTAACACACATGATGTTCCTACAAGGTGAAGTCTTCTCAGAGACAACTGCTTGGTTTAGGGACAATTCCCTTATATCGTCCATTGTCTCCTTATTGTCTTTTCTGGTTCTTTATCTCTCCTTCTCCAGCCTGGTCTCTACACCCCCTTGTCTCTGGCTACGTCTTTATATGTCTGCCTGTCTCTGGTTTTATGCCCACATGTCCTCGTGTATTATAATGAATGGAGTTTGTCCTTTTCCTGTCCATGATTTTAGCCCTGTCTGGTCGGGTAAACTTCCCCATTTTGGTCTGTGTTTCTCTCCTTCCTGTCTCTGGCTGTGTTTTCATGGGAAGATCCTGACGGTATCATAGATTAGATTATGTCATGGGGCTTCTAACCCAACAAGAGACAGTCTGCTCTTTATACCCTTGAAAACTCTGTGGAATCATTCTACTCTATTCTGCAGGTTAACTGACACGCTAACAATGGGTTTTCGGATTAAACGGTGGTCTTCCAAAAGTTATATCCACTCAGAAACTATGTGCCTTTACTTACAAAAATATTTTTGTAGATGGCACGAAGGATTTTAAGACGTGATCATTCACCATTCTAACTTCACTATTTTTGGTTTCCGGGGCCATGCCAAGACTCTTGGCAACTCTGTGTAAAGAGTAGTAAAACGAACTATCCCTTAGGGTCGTCAAGGCTGTGACCTTTTGGAAACAAACTCCTGAACTTCATCTTCTGAAGAACTACTAGTTGGGTTAGAACCACCAGACTTCTGGCTCATAGTCAAATGCTTGACTTTTGCCTCTCTGTGCCACTGGAGATTTCTCCCTGGATTAGGGTGGTCTTTAAATCCAATGGCATGTCCTTAGGAGACAAGATATACAGAGAAGATAATGTGAAGAAGGCGGCAGAGATTAGAGGGATACAGCCACAGCCAAGGACCATTTTCAAATATCTTCAGACATTAGAAGCTGGAAGAAGGAAAAGATTCCCCCTGAGATCTTTCAGATGGAGCATGATTTCACCTACAGCGTGATTTCATACTTTGGACTCCACAACTATGAAAGGATAATTATCTTTGCTTTCTTAAATTGCCAAGACTATAGTATTTTGTTACGGCAGGCTTAAGAAAATGGTAATTGGCAGGATTCGGTTGCCTCACCTGGCAGGAATCTCTCCCGTACATCTCATCCCCAGCACACACCATGTTTTGGGTGATCTGGTTAGGATAGGCACGCTCACAATCTCCACGAGACACCAGGTTGACGTATGCACACTGGATGGTATCAGGGAAATCACCTAGAAAGAGAACATAGACTAGACTTGACCTATGCCCTCATTTTCCCATAATTCCTTCATGCATTCTTCCTATGCAGTTTTTTCTAGGAGACCTCTGCTACAATCCTTCAATTTCTTTAAATGCTGTCCCATCCCATCAGTCTCTGTTTCCCATTTATTTCTTCTTCCTATTAATATGTACTCTGAGAAACGATGATAGTTATAGAAAGGCTTTAGGTCTCTTGTTCATAGGGTCGCTATGAGTCGTGTTCAACTCAATGGCAATCAACACCAACAACCACCCCCTAGTAATAGCTTATTCTTAAACACATTTCCACCATCCTTTCTCGTAAATTGGTCTTTCTTTCCATCATTCTTCCTTCTCCTATTGGACCATCTTCTTCAGCTATCAAATCACTCCTTCCCCATAAACCCCCTTTCCAAATGGTCTTTCCCTTCTCTTTTTAGGTCCTGTCTCCATTTTTCTCTCTTCTGTTGCGTCCTACCCTACCTTCTTCAGTTTGTGGTCAGGTCCTGTTGAGTTGGCCTCAACTCATAGTGAC